CCCTCTATGTGTACTTGTCACGCTTCAGTGCCATCAAAGGAACTGCTACCCTCAGTGTGTCTGCAAACACCCTCTGCCACAAGTTGGGTGTAAAGTGATGGTGGCAGAGACTTATCCGCAGAGGTTTGGCTGCGTTTCTAGGAGCTCCTGTCCAGGCCTTACTGCTGTGTGCCATAGGCTTCACTGGGAACCAGGAGGGCTGTGATGGGTGTGCCCCGGAGCCCAGTCCAGACCTGGCTGTCCACTTCCAAGTGGAAGGACTGACATGAAATGTATATTTAAAAATTTTAAATTGCAGATATTGTACATTTGAATTAAAGAAGCAATTAAACCACCTGTTGTTACTGTCTAAGGCTTGCTTTACTTACTCCTTTCGAGCATTTGAGGAGCGCATCCTGCTCATCTTCAATGGGCAAGTATACCACCCAGCAAGCTCTCTTGACACTGTAAAGGTCAGGCAATACTAGGTATGGAATGAACCTAGGTACCTGGACTTGGGGCCAGACCTAGAGTTATTCACAATAGGGTTCTATTGAAGTGATCTCCCTGCCGTGGAGATAATGGTGTACCAAATTCTGGTGGTAATTGGCATTTTAAGCCATTGTGCAAGGTCCTACATACTGTTGCAGCTTCCATGTGTTGCTCCAAGGTACCAGAGGGGTGGTGAGCCTCTGTTCTCACATAGGACACACAGTTTGGCATTGGAGTCTTTGCATAGCCTCCAACCCTTCCTTACAGGTCATGCTCCTGTTCCAGGTGGAACCCCTCTGGTCCCCAACACAACTGGTCTTCCCACCTTTGTTCTAGCCTGACTGCTGTGTCTACAATGCCTGCCCTGTCCTTTATAGCTTGCAAATCCTTTAATCTTGTCGAAAACATTGTCCATCTTACTAGGCCCCTTCCTTTGTATCTGGGCTGAGCCTGAAGCACAGACATTTTATTCACTAACCTACAGGAAAAAGGACTGTTTGATAAACACGTTGCGAAAGCCCGTCAAGTTCCAGTTGAGAGACAGGAGTTGTCTACCTTATTTCTCAGCCCACCAGACACACTGAAGTCTGCCTGGATCACTCTTGAAGCCCTATAGATTCTGCCAGTGCATTCAACTCAGTGCAAACAGGGTCTGTTTTCTGTACAAAGCGATGAATCCTTGCCAGGAAGGGCCTGGTAGATACCCAACCAGATTTAGATCCCTGCTCAGTAACTCAAGCGTTTGATTGTATGGGTGTTACTTCAACTCCCTAATCTGTCTCAGCAGTCCTCTCTGGGACTATGGTAATCTTGCCCTTAAGGTCTTCAGCACCACTTGAGTTTTGGTGACTTCAGGGAAATGAAACGCCCCTCCCAGTGGCTAGCCAGACATGGGAGGTTTATTCAGAAAGGATGAGGTAAGCCTCCCTGGGATGTCCACAGCATGTGTTATTTCTTCTAGCCACCAGAGCAGAGCATCCCTCCTCACCAGAGCAAGTCTTGTGTTCCCCACTTGCCTGGGGAATGTAGGAGCACAAGACCTGAGCTCCTCCTCTGCCTTACATTGTGGTTGGTGTTTTCAACTTTTCCAAAAAGCATTCTGAAGGAGTTTCTTGAAGAAGGAGCCTAATATTGTGTTGATGAGAGAAGCCAGGGTGAGTATATGGCCATGGAGTAGACAGGTTCTGTGGAGGTACACCTGGCCTTCATGTGAGGTGGTATACCTCAGCCAAGTCTGGAAGACCCACTTGGGTAGCCCAGGGAAGGCTTATGGGCAGAAGTGGGCCCAGCACTGGAGAATCACAGACCTTCCTGGAATCCACACACATCCTTGGCCCTGAAGCCTGAGGCTCCTCTCCCTACATGTCTGTCTCCATATTGTGGTCTTGGAGGGAATGCCTACTTCACTTCAAGCTGGGGGGTGACTGAAGGGAGGGCTGTCCACAAAGGCAGTGAGTCAAAGGTTAAGAGTCTGGGTTCCTCAATGATATGTGATAGCAATATCTAGCATTGCAGCCCAGGCATCTAGCTAGGCTTTTATCCCAGGAATTGCTGGAACAGGCCAGTTCTAAGTAAGGTAGGTCATAACTCCTCTCATTACCTACCACTGAGATAGGCTGCACCTCACTCATCTCCTAGAGCAGTCCAAGCTCCTTAGTGCACCAAGACTCCCTAGACTGGGCCCTACTACCTCTTGGCCACTGCCACATACATGTGCACACATTTTGCATTATTCCAGGCCTTTGTCAAGTCTTTAACCCCTAAATTCTTCCCTCTAGTTCACAACCCCTTGTTTTAAAAGTTACCTGGCATCCCACCATAGCGCCTACCTTCTGCTCTGGCCTCTATTCATATAGGCTGAGCTTGGCTGCCATCACCCTAGTTGAGCCTGGTTTCCTACTACCTGAACTGTTTTCATAAATACAAGTTTCAGGTTAGCCCCAGTCTCATTATTTAGAGGGGAAACAGACCCAGAGAGCCTAAGTAGGTCTCACCAGCTCACAGCAGGCTAGTCTTGGCCCGATTTCTTCTGCCTGGCCTCTAAAGGACACTTGCTAAAGCTGACCTGCCCCCTTTCCCTTCAGGTGCTACTGAGGGCCTAGTTCTCAGCCTTCTGCCTTCTCATCCTGTGACAACTGAGGGTCCTAGCAGGCCATGCAGCTGTGCCAAGGTATGGAACTCTGCCCTCAAGGGAGAAGCTGGGGCTTGGACAAACTGGTTTGTTCATCCCAGTTCATTCTTGTCCTTGGAAGCCAGGCAAGGACTCTGCTCTAGGAGGTGTCCCCAGAGGCCACTTTGTCCTGGGGCTTCTGATGCCTACATGCCTGAGAAGATGTTGTGGGAGCCTATTTATCTTAGGAAAGTTCCACCCAAAGTGTTGTATGACTATGGAGTAGCTCCTGCCAGGCTGACTCTGCTGCCTCCTATATCCTGGAACTTGGGCAAGCAGCTGGTATAGATGTTTCCTCTGTAGCCATATGACTGTAGGACCCTGAGTAATGGCCGAAGAATCCATTAGCCAACAGTTAGCGCCTGGCCAGGCTTTGAATTCTTCTCCAGAGGCTCTAAGGAGATTTGTGGGAGGGGCTAGGAGATGGAAGACAGGGACCCTATGACCTAAAGGGATAGGGATACCTCCCATATCCCTAAAGGTCATGACTCTTTGGCCAGCATTTTGCTAGCTCCTGTTATTTTAGTCCAGGGATGAAGAAACTGAGGTTGGGGCCCGTTGCTAAGGTCACAGAGTCAGAGATTGAAAGTCTAGCAGCTTGTAGCTGGACACAGATTTTTAATCCCAGTACTCAGGAGGCAGAGACAGGTGGATCTCTAAATTCAAGGCCAGCCTGATAACACAGAGTTCTTGGGCCCCTGGTCGTACTTGTCTTTCCCTGTTTACTGGAGGCGCTGTCTGTGGAATCCTGGCCAGGAAAGGCAATAGGGCAGGTACCTAATTGCCCCCACCCCACAAGGATCAATCTTTGAGCCTAAAACCTAAAGTGCCTTCCTGGAGGAGGCACCTTCTAAGCTGGGAGCTCAGAGAACCAGACCCAGTTCTTACACTCAGCACTAGGGGGCAGCAGCAGACCAGTAGTGTGCCTGGCAGGACCAATATCTGACATTGGCAGTGAGAGTGCTACAGTGAGTGCCCCTTTAGGAGAAATGGGACAATCAAGGGTCTCTGCAAACAAAGCTCCACAGAAGGAAGAATTTCTCTGGGTGACTCTCGGGGGCCAGAGGGAAAGGAGTTTGGCCAGTAGCCAGTAGCTTTAGCAAGACCAGACATTGACCTAAACCAATGAAGTAATACAGCAAGACTTCCAGGGGCTTCTCCTGGTTCCCTCCCATTTTAAATTTTGGACTGGAGTTCAGGTCACTCCCCTGCCAACCAACAAGGTCCTAACTGTGCTCCTTACAATGGACACAGGAAGCCCAGAGAGACTCTTTTCTCCAGGCTGAGCTCTTTCTGTCTTTGGTCTGTCAGGGACAGGCTGATAGATATTCTTCCTCTGTTGGTCAGAGCATGTGAGCCTAGTTGCTTAGGGCCCAGGAAAGACCCAGTATCCACCACAGCCTGTGCAGCTGAGGGCCTTAGGTCCCATGGAGTCGCATTTGGTCCTCACGGGCCAGATATTAGATGTTGATGCTCTGTGATGGCCTTCCCTCTGCAGACTCCACATTCTCCACCCCTGCCCTCCTGTTGACTCCTCAGCCTGAGGGTCCTGCCTAGCCCTGTGAGCATATTAATCCTCCACCTTGAGATTTTTTTGCCTGTCCCCACCTCAGCGTTGCTGTGTTTCTTGAGGACAAGCCCCAAGCTGTGCCCTGCCTCAGGCCGTTGACATTGTCCTTTATCCACTGCCAATTTTCTCTGATGGGCCTCCTCACCTCAGCTCCACCAGAGCTGTGCTCCTGCTTCCAGCCATGGTGAAGGTCGATGTCTGTGTCCTGGCCTGCATGGCTAGGTCAGGCCTAGTTCTAACTAGCCTGGCTTCCTAACACCCACACAACCCGAGACCCAGGGTGTTTGGTGAGTGGAACAAGAGAAGCAAAGAGGTGGTGATGAGGCCCAATCTCCGTAAAGCTTGATAGGCCTCCTAGAGGGAGTGACCTCTCAGCAAGGACCCCACTACCCCTGCCGTCATAAAGACAGCACTGGGATCCTGCACCTTGGGTCTCAGCACACTGCCCATCTGGGGCCTCCTTGGACTCTGGCCTATATGAACCAGGTGAGGCTGAGGTGGGGGTTGCTTGGGTCCCCTTTCAGGCACAGCTGGAGCAAGTCTCTTCTGAGGCCTCGAGGGCCAGCAGGGTGGGAGGGGGACTGGGAGCCACAGTGGGTTTGGGCACAGCCTCTCACTGCACTATTGATGGCCCGTCAGTGCAGCCCTGATTCCTGTGCTTTCAGTTAAAAGGTTTCTGTTGTTGTAGCTTATGCAGTTGCTCTGTTGCTATGGAAACATGACATCAAAATGACGTTTCCCGTTTAAAAGCTTTTAACTAAATTCCTGCCTGTCAGATGTAGGCCCCATTTTGAGCATGGAGCTGCCTCGAGCAAGCGAGTGAATGAGCGCACTGCCTCTCTCCCATGGTGCGTTGGCCAGGCCTGAGGCCCTGCCTGACTGCCATCCTTAACCCTGCAGGTGCCTCCAGCATGGCAGCAGCCGAAGTACCCAGCTACCTTGTGTCTCCTCAGACGGAGAAGCACCGGCGGGCCCGCAACTGGACAGATGCAGAGATGCGTGGCCTCATGCTGGTCTGGGAGGAGTTCTTCGATGAGCTCAAGCAGACCAAGCGCAATGCCAAGGTGTACGAGAAGATGGCCAGCAAACTCTTCGAGATGACCGGAGAGCGCCGACTAGGCGAGGAGATCAAGATCAAAATCACCAACATGACCTTCCAGTACAGGTGGGCACTCAGGATGGTTATGGGAGGGTCCAGGCAGGTTGCTCTACAATTGCCCACTTCGTGTTGTGAGTCAGGGAGGGTGTGTGTGGCCTGGGCTGGATGGTCTGTTGGGCAAGATGGCCTTCTAAAACCATTTATTCAGCCTCCTATTGGGAATAAGGGGAAACTGAGGTCCACAAGCAGGAAAGTGGTCCTGAGCTCTCAAGTGGCAAGTCTGGGAATGTCAATTCAACTTTCTGGGACTGGGGCTGGAGCTGTCCCATCATGAGGATGTTTTCAAGGTTGGCATTAGACCTGCCTCCTGCCTGCCGTGACACCGTAGAGATGGGTGTTAGGCAGCACCAAACCTGAAGGCCTGCTTCCTGGACTGGGGCTCCAGGGGACCAGCTAGCTGGTCTTGGTTCTGCCTGACTCACTGATCACAGCATCCAAGTTGGGCTTGGTGCTGTTTAAAGGAAATGGAAGCCATAGTGAAAGAGGAAGCTGACTCCCAGGCCTGGCTGATCTCCATACCCTGAGACTGAGTGCCAAGTGAGCCCCTGCCATGTGCCTAAGGCCAACCTCAGGTTGGTGAGAGGGCTTCCTAGACAGCATAAAACGCTGACCTGAGGACTCCCCATACGGGTCTCTGACTTTGCTACATCTCAGCTGTAGACTGTCTTAGCATGCAGCTGAAGGAAAGCCTGGAGGGAACTGATGCTAAGGCCTGAAATGCCTCTGGCTAAGGCCTGAAATGCCTCTGGCATCCAGGAGGGAACAGCTGTGGTGGGCCTGACCTATCTGGAAAAGTCAAATGCAGGGCAGGGATCATGGTTGGGGTGGAGATTGTGGACTTTGGTGGCATTGAGAAAATAGTGGGTATAAAGTGAAGGTCGAGTGCAGGAGGCCTCACTGTAGGAGGGAGGACATTGTTGAGAGTACTTCCCCAAGCTGGGCAGTGGTGGTGCACGCCTTTAATCCCAACACTCGGGAGGCAGAGGCAGGCAGATCTCTGGGAGTTCGAGGCCAGCCTGGTCTACAAGAGCTAGTTCCGGGACAGGCACCAAAGCTACAGAGAAACCCTGTCTCGAAAAAACCAAAAAAAAAAAAAAAACAAAAAACAAACAAACAAAAAAAAAGAGTACTTCCCCAAAAGACAGGCTCAACAGGCTGGGTCTAAGGGCCTGTTCGGAAGGGAGATGCTATCCCAAGAGACTCTCAAACATACTTGTAGTTCATCTGGTGAGTTGGGCAGATGGGAGGCTGGTGCAGAACTTACCATAAGAATAGCTGTGTGGTGCTCAGCCAGACTCCATAGAAGTCTTCATAGGTGAGGAGATACCCCAAGAAAGAGAAGGGACCTTGCCTGGCCCATGAATCACATGCCCTGGGAGACGTGGAGGCCCAACAAGACCTTGGACAGTCCATGATGCCCTGAAACTCCATTTCTGACTGCTGATTTAACTTCTAAGGGTCATGGAAGGAGTGAAAGGGTCTTAAGCCTTGCCTGTCCATGGCTCATTCTGACTCTAGTGCTGTCCCCAGCAGAGCCTATGAGCCAAAACCTACAGCTCCAGCAGCTGCTTGGACTTGCTGGCCTCAGGGTCATTTAGTAACTGATATTAAATTTCAGCCTTTCTTACGAAGAGAGAGCTGAGAGGCAAGTCTAGTGCCCTCAGGAGCAGGCATGAACAGTCAGAGATAGCAGCCATAGCCTGGCTTACTCACTCTCCATACCTGTTCCAGTTTCTGGGGGAGGTGGGAGGTTCTACTGGCTGTTTCCTTAGCCTCTTTGACTTAGTGGCTCACAGTGTCTAACTGAGTTATTCATTATTTATCTTGAAAGCCTCCCTCAGTGTCCTAGGGGAGGGATTCTGTCTCCGTTCCTAGAGGTGGTTGTAAGCTAGGAAGACCCGGGAGATGATGATGCATGGGAGGGACAGCCATTGCAGTCTGGGAGCAGGAGGCATAGCACTTCAGTGTATGAAGCACATACAGACTATGGCTCCTCAAGCCAAGCAGTTCTTTATCTATCTCTTCCTAACCCCTCATGGCAGAGTCTTTTCTTTTTACAGGAGCTATCTATATATTAAGTTTTTAGCATGTAGGAAATCTGAACAGGTAGCTAGGTTCTCCTCATTGGAGACAGGCTTTCCCCATTTCTCCAAGGAGTGGGCTGGCTTACGTGGAATAGAGAAAACTGGGGAGGGGGTTCTCTGGAAAGGAAGAGCTGGGTAGAAGGCTGCCATGGCCCCAGGGGGCTTGATGGTTACCCTGCTCTTCATCCAGAGCGGTCTGTGCTCTGTCCTGTGTAACTTGTCTCTGCTTTCTCATGCCGTCATGCCATGGGGTGGAGCCCTCCAGACCCTGGATGCTATTCCCCAAGGCTAACCTCTGCTGTGACTGACCACAGCCTATCCTGAGAAGCAGCCCCTGTCATTGGCTATGCCTGTATTGGGGGCTCATTTAACCAGCTCTCTATCTTCAGGGACCACTGGGGCTAGGGTCAGCCCAAGCAGAAAACCCTGTATGGGCCCAAGGTGGTCCTGAGGGCTGAAATGCTCCTGCCCACCCTGCCTATAGTCTCTTTCTATGAAGACCAGAACTATCTAGCCAGCGTGTGTCCTGTCTCCCCAGTCTTCTTGCCCTCCCTTCCCAGGGGATGGTCAAGGACAAGGATGTGACAGTCCTTTCAGTGAGACAGGATCCATCCATGGGAAAAGTTAGGGCACAGGGTCTTGAGGGCATTGGCCACACCGATCTGACCTTCGACTTTGACACAGTAGAGAGGGGATGTCAATCACTGTGAGTTGGCACCGACCACCCAGCCCCATAGACTCTGAGCAGGCTGTGGGTTTGAGGGCTAAGTTAGACTGACCACAGGGCCGGAATGGTAGCAGCATTACAGTGATACGGCATAACATACCTTCCTGGTAGGTTCAGCTGAGGACATTGTTGGAGCCTGGCCTCTTGTTTACCAGGCATTATTTTATAAAACCTTCCCTGTAGCTTTATGGAGGGTTCACTTTTCCCATCTCTGTTTTACTAATGTAAAACATGAAGGCTCAGAGAGGTTAATGAACCTGTCCAAGATCACACTGTGTGTGCAAGATACAGGCTCAGAGCTGTGAGTGTTGTTTTCCTGAGGCCTGCTGTTACCTCTCCTGGAGGCATCTTTGTAGAATACAAGTGCTGCATGGCAATTTCTTCTATGTTGGTATCTCATACACAGTCTCATCGCTGCAGGCTAACTTATATAAAAAGCACTCAGTTCATTGCAGTGAGTGTAGAACCCGCAGAAGAGAAGAGACCACAGGAACCAGCCCCAAGCTCCCAGCACCTATGGGTGTCCTTGCTCATGCTTGGGTTTCCTTTCTGACACCCAAAAGCTGTTCAGGTCCCAGCACCTCTCTACCTTCTGTCCAGTGTCACAGGGGCCCTAGGGCCTGACTGATTTTACCAAGGAAGCCAGTGCTGGCCGAGAGTGGCTCCCGCCTGTGTCAGCATGACTCCCCCTGGGGACCTAGACCCCTTGTGTGCCACGCTACCCAGGGGCCAGGCAGGACAGGCTGCACCTGCTGTTTCTCACCTTGGCTCTTGTGTCTCTCGTTTCAGGAAATTAAAATGCATGACAGATAGCGAGTCCGTCCCGCCGGACTGGCCCTATTACCTAGCCATTGATAGGATTCTGGCCAAGGTCCCTGAGTCCTGTGAGGGCAAACTGCCGGATGGCCAGCAGCCGGGGCCCTCCACGTCCCAGACCGAGGCGTCCCTGTCACCGTCTGCTAAGTCCACCCCTCTGTACTTACCGTATACCCAGTGCTCCTATGAAGGCCGCTTCGAGGACGATCGCTCCGACAGCTCCTCCAGCTTACTGTCCCTTAAGTTCAGGTAGTGTGTGTTCGCCCTTCCTCTCTTGACCCAGCACTGCCTTGGCAACTCCACCCCCTGCCCCATCCCCAAATGGGGCCAAGGCTCCAGTGCTCGGAGCTAGGGACTGGCAGTGGCACAGTGACATGCTGTGGTGTCCTCTGCCCTGACTGGCTGCACAGGCCATAGCTGCGTGCCTTGCCCAGGGCCAGGGCAGCCTCAGGGCAGCAAGTGCTCTAGTGCCAGGGGGCAGGTGGGGCTGGTCCAAGGCTCTATCACCTCTTGCCTGCATGGAAAGTTCTTTGACCTCTCTGACCTCTGTCTTCCACTATAAATGAGGATAAATCAGCATGTCTTAAGGAGAGAAGACACAGGGACAGGCACCAAGCACGCCCTCCCTGTCTGTCAAGCCCCAGCATGGGCCCCACCTCAGTAACAGGTCCTCTCAACATGGAGATTTAGGTCTGTACCTCCTGAGCAGTGAGTGGGCCATGCGTTCTCTGTCTTCTCTCCCATCACATTCTAGGCCTGTGTTGGCTGCACGCCTGTGCCTGCTAGACACTCATAGACCCTGTAAGAGTTGGGGGACAAGTAGGAGACACTCTGTGGCTTTGGGCTGTGCAGTCCAGAGCAGACACTTCTGAGGAGGGGATGTTTAGGGTGGGTTTCCAAGGTAAAATAGGAGTCAAGCAGTTGAAGAAACTAGGAAATGTGGCTTTGAGTTATGGGCCTTCAAGCCTGTCTCACAGTAGGTAGGATAGGGAAGGTGTCTCCTTGGCAGCCTCTGACCCTAATGTCCCTGGGAGTGATGGAGGGAATTTGATTAATTTATCCAGAAAGCCCTTCCCTAGAGGGAATTTCTCATTCAAGGGCCCAGACGAAAATCTGTCTTTACTAGAGCCAGGCCAAGCTAGCAGAGAAGCCTGAGATTTATGGCCAATTGTTCCCGTGGCTTACCGAGCCGTTTCTGGGCACAGCAGCCTGGGGCTCTGTCCCCAAGACTGACTGATCACCCACTTTGCTCAGGACACAGAGCACAGGACAGGCACTGGAGGCAACCAGAATAGGCCTTGGGGTGTAGGGATCCAGTGGCTTTTGACAACTCCCTGCTGTCCAACAGGGTTTTTAGACTGGCAGAGAGCAACCATGGGGCCTCTCCTGAGGAGGAACCCAGCTGTGCTCTCTCTCTCTCTCTCTCTCTCTCACACACACACACACACACACACACACACACACACACCACCCCACGAAAGGCATACTTGGAGACCAGGTTCAGGGTAGGCCTTCACTCTGAACCCATTTCTTTGTCTGTCCAAGGCCAGTGGGGGCTACAGACTTCACTTTCCTTAAGAGTACCAAGTACCACACTGCCTAGCATCTTCCTTCCCAGCCTTGCTGCTCCCTGGAGTGGGTTCTTCACCCTTGAGCACCTTCCTCCAGCTCAGTGGGTTTGGGGTGCTGTCAGGGCCCACAGTTCATACTCTGGAATGTGGATGGTCCTGGAGCTGCCTGCCTGCTCCTCCCGCAAGCCAGCACTGGCTGTTACCTGCTGCTCTGTGTGCTCTGTAAGCCCCAAGCCCTCCTCTGGGGCTCATGGGGCCTCAGTGGCCTAGTTTGTCCAGGCGGGTGTTTGGGAAGGTCTGATCGCCCCCATGTCCCAGGCCCTGTGACCAGCTCATGTCTCCCTCACAGGTCAGAGGAACGTCCTGTGAAGAAGCGCAAGGTCCGGAGCTGTCACCTACAGAAAAAGAAGCTGCGGCTGCTGGAGGCCATGCTGGAGGAACAGCGCCGGCTGAGCCGTGCCATGGAGGAGACATGCCGAGAGGTGCGCCGTGTGCTGGACCAGCAGAACATCCTGCAGGTTCAGAGTCTGCAGCTTCAGGAGCGCATGATGAGCTTGCTGGAGAAGATCATCGCCAAGTCCAACGTCTAGGCCATGGAGAGGATGCCAGGTGCCACACAGTCCTGTCTGGAGGCCCACCCAGGCTCAGGGCCCTGCCCACCTGGCAGGATTCCGGAAAGGGGACAGACTTCAATCTGGCCTCTGCTTCTCTGAAGGGCTTTCCTCCCCAGTGGCCCTATGAGACCTTGGAGCCCCAGCTCCAGCATTAATGCCAGGGACCCTAGGGCAGCTGCTAGCGAGAAGATCCCAGAATCCACTCTCCAGTATAGTCACTACCATAATACTTGAAACGGCTTTTGATATTAAACATACTTTCCATTGTTGCCTGGAAGCCGACTTTGCTCTCTCTGATGTGAAGGGGAAAGGGAAGTGCTGGCTGGGTCAGTTCTCCTCTGTACACAAAAGCAAATGCCATAGGTCAGGGGCAGGTTGTGGGGTCTTTCTTCCACAGGATCTGTAGCACCAACCCTAATTACCCAGCTATCAGAGGACTAACCCAACACAGTCACCCCTTAGGAGCTTCACACGAGCACAGGGTCCATGCCGACTCACCTTGTTGATCTGGCTCCTGGTAGCAGCGGCATGCGAAGTGAGGCACAGGGCTCAGCAGAGAAATAGTAACCAATGACAGAGGGTGCTGAAGGGAAAGGTTGGGCCTGTGACAGAAGAAACCAGATTCAGGCAGAGCTAGGAAGAACACCCCCACACAGAGAACTGCCCTTGCAAGCACCCAGGGGAACCTGTTGCCAGCAGCCAGGTCACCCAGAGCCATGCACTTCTGGAGGAAGTTTGTGTTTTCTCTAAGCTTGTTGTGAGTGTTTCAGCCCGGCCTCTGAGAAGGCATGCAATGGCCATCTTGCCTCTGTCATCTTACCATGTGAAAGATTCTTCCCAGGACCGCCTCTGCTGAATAGCCATAGGACCTTTGGCCAGGCCTTGACTTTTCACCGAGGCCACAGGGGAGACTGGAAGCCTGTCTGATTCACCCCTTGGGCCCAGGCCAATTGCAGTTCCAGAGGACCAGATTCAGTGGAGCTGGGTTAGGTGCTTATGTGTTTCAGTTTTCCCTGAAACTTAGAGTATACTTTTGAGGTCAGGGGTAATAGCAAGGTTTCCCCATGCAGCTGCCAATCATCCTGAGGTGAGAGTACCAGCTATACTGACTCTTCAATAATAGTCAGCCAGGCATGAGGGGTTGGAGGGGCTATGAGTCTGTGTCACCAGATGATGTGGCACCCTACCCCAGGCTACCTATGGGAGGGGCTGCATACCCTATGCAGCTGAGGCAGAATAGCGAGCACGATCTACCTTGATCTGAGGTCCTCTGAGCTCTCAGTCCCTCTGCCCCGCATAGGTCTCCTGAGTCCATGTCCCTTGGGCTCTGCGTTTTGCTAGCAACCTCAGGCAGTGGGAAACATTCACACAGTGGTACAGATGGAGCACCTGTCAGTCTGTGGTGTAGACTAAGCAAAGCGCCGGCTGTCTGTGTGCTGTCCCTGTACCCCTAACAAGGAAGAGATCAAATAGTTGGTTCTTAGGCACCAGTGTAAGTAACTACAGCTCTCTCCTGAAAAGCAGTTGGTGGCTCCAGGAAGACAGAGAACTCAGGGGCATGTGGTACATGAGAGCCAAGTCAGGAGCCTGACCTCCTTCTGCCTCCCAGAATTCATCTGCAGCCTTAGTTGCTGGGGACCCCAGCATGGACACTCAGTGATCTGCTGAATACATCTGCCTGTCCTCATTTGTGGGTCATGGTGGCTAAGCTGCCGTGAAGCTCCTGAGCCTCAAAAAATGGGGGGGGGGGGTGTCTATCCTTCTAGAAGAGAGAGTAGTGCTGTCTGAGAGGCTGCTGGAGGGGAGCACTGGCCACTGGGTCTTGGCGCTCCATAGGAGGGGACAGAATGAGGGTCAGGAGGCAGCCAGTGACTTCATGGCTAGATCCCATATTCCAGAATCGGAGCAGCAGTACACTGCTGAGTACTCCTGTCAGTTAGCATCTTTGCATTCTGCATGCAGAGGCAGCCTCTGTCTGAGCAGTCTGGGACTTGTTTGTTTGTCCCCTAGAGGTTAGATGGGACTCATCTCTTGAACACCTGAAGTTGACCAAAGGTTCCACAATGTGTCGTTGAGGACTTTCTGGTTTCTTCTTTAGCTATTGAGTTGTTTTGAGGAGTAAAATAACTCTATTAGTAAATGCTAAAATATCTGATCTGGTTCAGCAAAACATGAACACAGGAGCCAGGCAAGTGCTTTCGCCATCACAGCCTGATCCTCTGCCATCTAGAACAAGACACTAGTCAACAAACAAAGCTAAGGGACGGGATGAAGACATGACAGTTCCCTTTATCTTCAGATACTACTTTTGATGATCCCGAAAACCAAATACACAGACCCTCGAGAGCTTCAACCTAAACGTATTAAAATTGACAGTGAGAAAGGAGTCCACTCAATTGAAACCAGGGTAGTAGATTGCCCAGGAGTGGATCTAGCCAGAAAGACAGAGAAAGACTGGCGAAGATACACCCCGTCACTGAAGGGTGCGAAACGGTCCCTGAGTGTGGGAGAGGAATACACCACAGAAGCTCCGGCGCTGAGTGCACCACAGAAGCTCCGGCCTTGACCCCACTATGTTTCTAGCAGAACTGCAGGTTTTGTTTTGAAATGACAAAATTATGTTTAAATTCATGTGAAACAAAGAATGGGGCCAAAGGTGGGAAGATGTTCTCCGTAGCCTGCAGGCACATTGGGAGCCTTCAGGTTACCTCCTGTGGTGATACTAATGAGAAATGTCACCTGTATTCTCAGACATTTGAATACTCAGTCTCCAGGTGGTGGCACTGTTTGGGGCAGCTTCAGCGTGTGACCTTGCTGGATGAGGTGCCACTGGAGGCAGGCTGGGAGAATTTAAAAGACTTGTGTGATTTCTAGTGAGCTCTGTACTTCCTGCTTGTGGTTCAAGATAGGAGCTCTCAGCTGTCCCTGCTACCATGCCTGTCTGCTGCTCTTCTTCCCTGCTATGATGATGATGGACTCTCATCCCTCTGGAACTATAAGTCCAAACAAACTCTTCCTTCTATAGGTGGCTTCTGTCATGGTGGTTTATAACGGCAGCAGGGAAGTAACTGATAGACATCACCACATGTGGACCTGGCCGGGAGTCTGATGGACTCAGAGACCGGGAAGAGCCTCGACTCCCACAGTGTCTAAGGGGATTGTGACAGCCTCATCAGTGATCATCTGAGGAGATGTTCCTTTCCATGCAGCAGCTCCATACTCACACGGCACCTCTGCAGGGTGGCTCAGCATGTCATCCAAGCATGGGAGAGCTCTGGGGACCCTAGTCACTAAGAAAAGTGACCAGCAATGGATTCCAGAAAACTTTAAAGAGTTCCAACCAGCAACACCAGTACCTCTAGAAAACCTTATTTAAAAATTAAACTGTAGGGGCTGGAGAGATGGCTCCGTGGTTAAGAGCATTAACTGCTCTTTCATAAGACCAGGGTTCAATTCCCAGCACCCACATGGCAGCTCACAACTGTCTATAATTTCAGTTCCAGGGGATCCAACACCTATGGCAAAACACCAATGCACATAAAATAATTTTTAAAAACTTTAGACATATAAAATGTTATTTATTTCAGAACAATAAACCCATTAAATATTACTATCAGGACCAGTTGTATTAAAATGTATTTTCCAAAACAAGGTGTCAGCAAGAAAAGTGGCATTGTTTTATATTGGTATAAATCTCTGGCTTACAGGAACCAGCAAGGGTTCCTCAGGTACCTGTGTACTCACCTGCCAGCGGAGTTTTTGGTTGTTAAGTGCAGGATTCTATTCAGAAAGTCCAACCTCACAGGAAGTTACCTGTAAAAAAGAGATATTTAAAGAACAATTCAGTGTGGCTGCTTTGATGTTGTCCTACCTCAAACTTGAGGAGAGGAGAGATAGGGGTTTTTTTTTTTTTTTCTGGACCTGGGGATTGAACCCAGGGTCTCCTGCATACTAGGCAAATGTTCCTCCATTCAGCCACCTCCCCCAAAGCCCCAACCTTTCCTTGTGTCTCATCTTATGCCTCACTGGCTCTTTGTCCTTCTGTGTTTATGTACCCAGAAGGCATTTGGAAACATTTTTGGAAAATATTGTGCCTAGAGTGATACAAGTATTCCTAGTGTTACAACATGTCATCAATCAGATACCAGAGAGTCACCTTTGTCCAGTCACTAAGAATTGTAGGTGGAAGTTTCTGTCCTGCCTGGTCCCACAGCATTCAGTCCCAAAGAAACACACAGAGGCTTATATTATATTATAAACCATTTGGCCTGTTAGCTCAGACTTATTATTAGCTAGCTCTTACAACTTAAATAAACCCATAATTCTTGTCCATGTTTAACCACATGACTTGGTACCTTTTCTCAGTGAGGCATTCTCATCTTGCTTCTTCTGCTTCTGGGTGATAACTACAGACTGAGGTTTTCCTCTTCCCAAAATTCTTATAGTCTGGTAACCCCGCCTATACTTCTTGCCTGGCACTAGCCAATCAGTGTTTTATTAAACCAATACAAGTGACAAATCTTTACAGGGTACAAGAACATTATCCCACAGCAGACAGTCTCAGCAGGAAGTCCTCAGGTGGAAAGTTCCAAGCCCATGGTAGTCAGAGCAATATTTCCAGTCTGACTCCTTTAGGAAAGTGTGAATTTTACCACCAGTAACAAATGTTGCCACTGTTTCTTTTGAGGAGCTGGCCTCGTTCATTTCTCAGGAATATACCAGGTACCCTGGCCTGCCAGTGTTCTTTCAAGGAATCTCTATAAACTGTATTTTATTACAACACACACCATTGCACACATGCCTTTCCTCACTCAGCCCAACATGCAGGCATGACAAAAGCCTTGCACACACACTTTCCATTCCATCACAAGGAACTTGACAGAAGTGGTCTCCAGGTTAGAACTTAAAGTCAGCCTCATCTGAGACATTCATGAGTAGAGCTGGTGTCTCATGCCTGGAACTCCAGCACTCAGGAGGTTTATGTAGAAAGTTTTCTGTGAACTTATGACCAGGCAGGGCTGCAAGACCTTGTTTCAAAAAAAAAAAAAAAAGAAAGAAAAGAAAGAGAAAGGGACATGCAGGTAGCACATGAAAGAAGAAAAAATATAATGCAAATAATG